CACTTTTTTGGAGGTGGTAAACACACCAGTCGGAGACGCGTTCCAGGCACCATACAGGGTGATTCAAGGAGACGCCAGGCTCTTTAAATCGACCGCAAAATTTGGTTTCTTAACCTATCGCACTACGACTTTGTGCAGCGTTGTCCACAGATGGTGCATTTTTTTTGTAAAATTTGCAAAGAGCGAATTTTACCTGAGGAAAAAGTAAAGAAAGGAAAAGGCTTAGCTCCTATGGAAACGCAGCGACGCCACCAGTCTTCAAACAACACGGCCCCGTTTCGCACGGGAGACAAGAGATGGCGCAACGAACGCCGCCAACGAACGAGCATACGGTGCCAAAAGCCGGCGTCTGTAGCAGACAATCTTTTTGACTCAAAAGCGGCATGCGTTCGGCAGGCAGTGACAGTCGCAGAAACAGAAACAGGCGCGGTAACAACAAGAAACTGCAGTTCCTTGTCTGCTAAAAACGCCGGCTCTCGGCGTCGTATGCTCGTTCGTTGGCGGCAGTTGGCGTCGCGACCGCTTGCGCCATCTCTTGTCTCCCGTGCGAAATGGTGCCGTGTTGTTTGAAGACCGGTGGCGTCGCTGCGTTTCCATAGGACCTAAGCCTTTTTCTTTCTTTACTTTTTCCTCAGGTAAGTTCGCTGTTTGCAAATTTTACAAAAAAAAATGCGCCATCTGTGGGCAACGCTGCACAAAGTCGTAGCGCGATAGGTTAAGAAACCCAAGGAGGCTAGAAGTATTAGGAGAGGGCACGTTGCAAAATTGGTGAAGCCTAGTCATAAAAAGTTTAAACGATGTTGTGGACAACGTGACCGTAGATGTCTCTGGCAATTGGTGCACGTGACATGTCACGTGTGAGCAGGGGGGGATTTAAAAGGGGGGTCCGGATGTCCTGACCCCCCTCTTGATTTCTGCATGTGTAAAATTTAGGGCATAAAATAAAGGAGAGGGGGAGGGGTTCCTAAACATATGGTATGCTGACCAACACCTGACCACCCCCTCCCCCCCTCAGGAAATTCCTGCATCCGCCCCTGCGTGTCAGATAGATGGTTGATTGTAGAAGGACTCCTTGCAGGCTTGCGCACGCTCCGTCTGGTAGGTTTTATCAGATCGAAAGCTAGACTGTGGTGTATATACTAGTACCTCATGGCTAGAAGAAGGCTAGCTACGGTCACATGATCTGGTCACGTTACCCTGGTAAGTGAGGAGAGTAAGGAGGAAAATGAGAAAGAGGCGAGGCGTCAAGGGAGCATGGCTTGTGGAGGCTATGCGGCTGGTGTCATGCCCTCACCACCCTTCTATCCTCTTTAGAGAAACCGAATTTTGCGGTCGATTTATAGAGCCTGGCGTCTCCTTGCCTTGTATCACCCTGTAGTTCGACGAACCTTGTATTGAGGTTCGACTCAGTTCGACTCGTGTGCGCATGCGCGACAGGCTGGCCAGTTGACTTCGGATTGGATGGTGATGGCTGAGGGAAGGGCAGCACTGATTGGTTATTTCAGTTAATACAGTACAAAAAAATAAGTTATGAACTTCTTCGGTGATTAGAATTGGTTTATTTTAATTGCAACTGCTCATAAAATAAAAAAGAAACCTTTTCATAAAAAAAAATTCTCCAAACCTAGCCAGACTGTCCAAAAAGTCGAATCTGGTGAAAATGGGTGAAAAGGTCGAAGGTTCGTCGACCGGTTCGACGCAGTCAATGTTGAACGCAGTCGAACCTCGAAAGTTTGACCTAAAAATCCGGTTCGACAAAAGTTTGCAACACCCCTACCTTTTGACTCGTCTCTGTTTCAGTTTAGAATTTAAAAAAAATAAAAAGAGAACACCATTTAACATGTTGCTTTTTTACGTGTACGAAACATTATTATTTTTTTTTTTTATCCCACAGGTTTTGAAACTATGATGCTATGATCGTGACAATTTCGAAAAAAAAAAAGTGGATTTTACGCCCCTTACGCATTTGTGGAAGTGAAGCAGATATTTGCTATTAAGGGTGTCGCAAACTTTTGTCGAACCAGATTTTTAGGTCGAACTTTCGGGGTTCAACGGGGTTCGACGAACCTTCAAACTTTTCACCAGATTCGACCGGTTTGACTTTGTGGACAGTGTGGCCAGACCTTGATACAAGCATGACTAGGCTTGGAGAATTTTTTTATGAAAACGGTTATTTTATTTTATAAACAGTTGCAATCAAAAGACACTAATTCTAATCACTGAAGAAGTTAATAACTTAAAGGGGTCATGAAACGATTTTCCTACTTCTTCCTCCTTAGCTTTAATCCTCAACTCAAATGCGAATTGTGAAATCACGTCGTCGTGACATTTTTCGGCACCGGTGCGATGACTCCTAGCTTCCACCGTGCTTTTTATGCACACCATAGAACTTGTCATTCCCCACTGACGATAAGTTCCGTCAGGGCACACGCAATTCCGAATATACGTCGGCGGATTGATTGTTGACGAGCGGCGTACGTCCGTGTGACGCAGTTCTCGTGTCCAATGCGTGAGCTGGGCTCGGCTGACGTCAGGTTGGCACCACTGACGCGCTTTGGGAACCGCGGTTGTATCATAGTGAAAAGGCGGAGAGCTTTCAAAAGAAAGAAGGTACAAAATAGTCCGCTATATTTTCAAATGTTCATACCGAAAAGCTGGCATGTTGACTTTCTACCCTCTTTCTTTTGGTAACTAAACGATATGCGATTCGTAAAGTTCCAATTTAAAATAATTTATCCCAGCCCAAAATTCGTTTCATGGCCCCTTTAATTGTTTGTACTGCCTTAACTGAAATAACTGGGGGCGTCGCGAACCGGCCGCGGTTCGAGTTCGACCAGGTTCGACTTTTTCGAACTTTTAGTGGAAAGTTCGTCGAACCTTGTATTGAGGTTCGACTCGTGTGCGCATGCGCGACAGGCTGGCCAGTTGGCTTCGGATTGGATGGTAATGGCTAAGAGATGAATTAAGTGCAGTGCTGATTGGCTATTTCAGTCAATACAGTACTAAAATTTAAGTTATTAACTTCTTCAGTGAATAGAATTAGTTTCTTTTAATTGCAGCTGTTCACACAATAAAATAACCCTTTGCATAAAAAAAGAAATTCTCCAAACCTAGACATGCTTGTATCAAGGTCTGGCCACACTGTCCACAAAGTCGAACCGGTCGAATTTGGTGAAAAGTTTGAAGGTTCGTCGAACCGGTTCGACCCAGTCGAAGCCCGAAAGTTCGACCAAAACATCTGGTTCAACAAAAGTTCGCGACACCGCTAGAAATAACCCATCAGCGCTGCCCTTAATTCATTCCTTAGCCATCACCATCCAATCCGAAGCCAACTGGCCAGCCTGTCGCGCATGCGCACACGAGTCGAACCTCAAAACAAGGTTCATCAAATCGCTAACTTTTGTCGAACCAGATTTTTAGGTTGAACTTTCGGGGTTCGACTGGGTCGAACCGGTCCGACGAACCTTTGAGCTTTTCACTAGGGGTGTCGCGAACCGGCCGAGGTTCGAGTTCGACCAGGTTCGACTTTTTAGAACTTTTAGTGGAAATTTCGACGAACCTTGTATTGAGGTTCGACTCGTGTGCGCATGCACGACAGGCTGGCCAGTTGGCTTTGGATTGGATGGTAATGACTAAGGGATGAACTAAGGGAAACGCTGATTGGTTATTTTAGTTAATACAGCATAACAAATTAAGTTATTAACTTCTTCAGTTATTAGAATCAGTTTCTTTTATTTGTAGCTGTTCACAAAATTAAAATAGCCTTTTGCATAAAAAAAAATTCTCCAAACCTAGACATGCTTGTATCAAGGTCTGGCCACACTGTCCACAAAGTCGAACCGGTCGAATCTGGTGAAAAGTTCGAAGGTTCGTCGAACCGGTTCGACCCAGTCGAACCACGAAAGTTCGACCTAAAAATCCGGTTCGACAAAAGTTCGCGACACCCCTACTTTTCACCAGACTCGACCGGTTCGACTTCATGGACAGTGTGGCCAGACCTTGATACAAGCATGTCTAGGTTTGGAAATTTTTTTTTTTTTTTTATGAAAAGGGTTATTTTATTTTATAAACAGTTGCAATTAAAAGAAACTAATTCTAATCACTGAAAAAGTTAACTTAATTTTTTTGTACTGTATTAACTCAAATAATCAATCAGCGCTAACCTTAATTCATCCCTTCGCCATCACCATCCGATCCGAAGCCAACTGGCCAGCCTGTCGCGCATGCGCACATGAGTCGAACCTCAATACAAGGTTCCTCGAATTCAACGTTACTAAAACACTCAGTTGGGAAACTCGCCGTCGAAACCTGGGCCGCTGGCGTCCATCGAGACCGAGCTAAATGCGACAACAGCGCCACTCTTCATCGTTTGTCTGTACTGTGGTCCCTTTGAGCTTTTTGAAAGCCTGTTTTTGCGTAAAAACAAACGGAAAAGACTGTTTTTTTATGAAATTTATTGGAGTTTTGTACCAAATGAAGGGAGCGTGATGATTTTATACTCTTTAGTTTGCAAGGTTTTGCGGAACAATTAATATTGTTTTTATACAACCATGCCTCACCGGGCCTTTCAGGTAGCCCGTCCCGACCTAGGTGCATTTTAACTTCAGTAGTTCGACGCGGCGCGTCCGCCGGGGAGACGGGGGTGGCACCCCTGTAACCTCTTCCGCTGTATCTGTTCTTAGAGCCAAAATAGAAGTCACGTGCAGTTCCTCGAGTGGCCGCTGCGGGAAAAATGGTGGCGTTATGTTCGTCATTAGCTCGGTGCTCGGAGACAGATTGGGGCCACTATTTCAAAGATGTCTCTATGGAGTTTCCCAACTGAGTGTTTTAGTAACGTTGGTCGAATTTTTTCACTAAAAGTTCGAAAAAGTCGGACCTGGTCGTACTCTTTTTGTTCCTCCGGTTTTAATTTTGGTGAATTCATTTCAACTTTAATAATTATAAAACAATTCAGTTAGATGAAAACCCAACAAATAGGTTGACAGTTGACAAATGTGATAAACGATTGTAAACACCAGTTTTAGACATTTCGGCGCTTTCAGTCTGAAAACACTGAAAGCAATGGTCACGTGACTCCGTCGTCTGCACGATCGTCGAGGTCACGCACACGCAGAGCACGCTTCGTCCGTTGCCGGGCTGCCGGAGTGAACTTTTTCGTTCCAGTTCGGAATTGGGCGTCTTCAAGAAACGGTCAGCGAGGAACCTGTGAACCCAAAACTGTGAGTTATGTCCAGACACATCAGCGACCTCCTCTTTGCGCACTCGCTCGAGCCGGCCGGGTTTGGCTCGTCCTAGGGTTAAACTAAACTATAGCACAAATCGATGTCATTATAAGACACACGTGTGTGTGTGTGTGTGGTCGCTGTACTTTACGCCACAAGTCAAAAACCATGCCCCCCCCATAAGTTGGGGTGTAGTTTATCCACGAGCACGGTCATCGTTCAGACGTAGGGATGTGCCGGCAACTTCTTTCGGCATCGCATGTCAGAAAACCAGCCGTTTTCTCGCGTCCGAGACTCGGGAGCTTCCGCTTGGTTTTGAATCTCCGGCGTACCGCGCTATCACTCTCGTAGAGGCGCGATACTGTTGATATTTTGATTGGCGGGGATTTATTCGATTTGATGATGGGGCTTCGATCGGACATATAAGGCGCGTTTCTCCGATTACTGGCAATGCTCCTACGCGCATTTTAACGACGTCAGTTTTTCAGCTACCGCGCCCAACCATGCACCACCCAACTGCAGCAGAGAGAGGTTTTTTTTTTCTTGTTTTTTTTTGATGATGTCGCTTCTGTGTCTCGTGTTCGTCGTTGCGTGACCGATATTTCTCGGTCTACAAGGACAACTCGAGCGGCTGAAAAACAAACGGGAGCGTACGGGACCGAAGGTCGTTCCATTTTGCCGGACGCGCTCTCGGATTGTATTGGAATTGATGACTGCAAATAATAATTCCAACTGGAGACTCGACGCACGCTTGCGGCACTGAGCATATAACCTCGCTTGTCATGTTCTTTTTTTTTTCTTTCTATTTTCCGCATCCAAATTTCGTCATCGCTTATGACATACACGTATAACGTCACACGTTCACTTAGTCTCTTTCATTTTTCTTTTCTTTTTAAAGCACCTGTAAGCTAAAAGCCGATATCTTCGATGATTCAATGCTGGCGGGAGCGTTCGACGTATGATCCGCATTCGCGATTTTCCGAAATTATTGTATCCGCGCGTTCGATCCGCATCCGAACCGCACCTGCAAAATTCAGAACCGTATCCGCAAAATTCGTAACCGCCTCCGACCCGCAATCCGCGCATTCATTTTGCATCATGAAATCAGGCCTGAATGAAAAGAAAAGGCATCTGGATGATACCTTATAAGCCGTCTGCTTCTCTTAGTACGAGGAACTCTTCGAAGCAAAGTGATATAAAAGTCATTTTATTGTATTCTGTTTTAACACATATTTATAGACCTTTGCAAAAACAGCGCTCTGGCCGCTGCCATTTTGCGAATCGAGCGACCCCTATCAGCCAGAAATTTCTGGCACCCGCCTGAGCTGTGGAAACCCGGTCAGCATGACTCCCCACCTGCATTTTGCATTCGGAGTTCGCCGGCTTTTCTTGGAAGTTTTTACTTTATTCGCCTGTTTAGGATGCTTACCCTTTGTATGTTATCTTCCACTGAGAACCAGAGAATACCAGGTCTCGTAGCCTGCTCGGTCTTCGCAGGAAATGAACGAAGAGAGCGAACGTCAAGCAGCCCGTGACACAGGCAGTTCGACGTGCTTGGAGGATTATTTCCTTCGAGATAATCTCCAAAAAGCCTTCCAGGCTGTGTTCCGGGACTTCGCAAAAACTAGCTGAGAAGGTTGGGTCCGGGGTGTGGCGACGGAATAAGCATGTTCGTTCATTTGCTTTGAAGCTGTGCAAAAAAGGAGCTCTCTTCTACATGTTCCCCAAAACATGCCAGATTCCGTCCGATCGTCGTGAAGTGACTATCGTCGACACTGTATATTGGATATGCTGTGTTATTTGAAACCTTTCTCAAATCCTGTTTGGATTACGCGGCACCGTGGGGTACGTACAATATATTTTTTGTTCGATTGATGAGACATTGAATTTTATGTTGTGGGCGGGGAATATCCATGCAGTACGGATATCCTGTGTGGTCAAATATTTTGACCTTTATAGACCGTTTTACTGAAAGAGGGCGAGAGAGAAAAGGGGAAAGGGCTAACGGCGCTTTCCCCCTTTCTGATTGTGTAGAAAGAGTGAAAGTCCCGGATGAGAGGCTTGGCCGGTGTTGGGTGTCTGCTGTGCCCCAACTTCGTTCGCGCTTTGTTTTCTGTTTTGAACTCGCAAACTTAATTAGAGTAATGGGCTTCGATGGCAACAGTTCCCCGGTCATCGGGACACCATTGCTCGGTCATAGCGTGCACGAATAACGACAGAAAGCGTCGAATACTGTCCGAGGACCTATGTAGCTTGCAATGAATCCGGCAAGGCGAGAGCGGCTGCAATTAAGCTCGATCGCTTTCCACATGACCCCGGTCTTGGCGGCAGTGGGTTGCGTTCGTAAACGGAAAAGACATTTCCTCAACACCATCTTCTCGACTGTGCTCAAAACAACTTGTGGATGAAGCGCGCACCGAACGCTGTACCGCCGATGAACATGGGGTACGCTCGCAAGGTGCGTGCCAGTTTTCTCGTGATAATTGCTGTTTCAGCTTGTAAATTTTGTAACTGAATTTATCCTAATATTGATAACTTGCAGTGGTGACTGACTCGATTTCATAATTTACAACACTTAGTTGAAGGCTTATTTCCGCCGCCGGGTGAGGCTAGAATTTGTTGAAAAGGTAGTTCTATCGGTTTTCCTGAATAGCGATCCCCTGTGCGATACGCCGATACCAGAGAGCCGGCAAAAGCGCTCCTTGGAGTGCCGCTGGTGGGTTTTTGGGGTTGTTTCCGTTGATTGGGCACTTTGAAGCGCTGGATAATCGCTCGAGGGTACGACTCGTGAGTTGCGATCTGCGTCTTCGAGCCCAGTGTGTACGTTTCTTTGTTCGAGTCATGGAATCCGCCAGTGCGGCAACGGGGGCAACAGCGGCAGCGAACGTGTCAGTGATAGAAATTGGAGGTTAGTACTCGAAATATTGAATCAAATAGTAAAATAATTCGTGGCTGCTTTGACGCTTTCTGCGGTTCGATATAAGCACCTCTAGAACGTCTTCGTCGTTCATCCACAAGGAAATATGAGAACACGGATACGCAAGATAAAAGCAGCGCAGCAAAACGATATGTAGCAGCTCCGGGTGTTCACAAAAGTTAGTTGAGGTTCCCGTTTCGTGTATCGCTTGTTCATTACTAAAAACGGCTGCGTTGAAATGGGCCTATTGCAAGCAAAAATTTATGAATGGTTCATCATTTCCAGTCACACGGAAAGCGGTGGAGCCTCAAAACATTGCAGCCGCACCGCACGTGCCTTGCCGAATTCCATGCAAGCTACGAGGTCCTTTGGGCGGTATTCTATGCTTTCTGTTTTTATTCGTGCACCCTATGACCGAGCAATGGTGTCCCGATGATTGGGGGACTGTTGCCATCGAAGCCCGTGGCTCTAATTAAGTTTGCGAGTCTAAAACAGGAAAGACAGCGCGAGAGAAGTTGGGGCACAGCAGACACCCAACGCCGGCCAAGCCTCTCATCCGGGACTTTTACTCTTTCTACACAATCAGAAAGGAGGAAAGCGCCGGTAGCCCTTTCCCCTTTTCTCTCTCGCTCTCAAAATGGCGCTACCCACGATAAAACGGTCTATAGATTGACACGGCTGAGTGTACGGTGCCGTAAAACAATGAACATAAAATGAAACAAACATTCCAGTTGCATTTGTTGTGTCGCACACGGACTCACCAAAACAGCTTTCACTTCTTTGTTTTCGTTCCCACAAATAGAGCACTGCTCTTTTAAAGACCTCTATAAATTATGTTCGCCACAGAACACAATATAAAAAAGAAAACGCGGCAATTCAGCCGCCACCAGCGTCCGGAATTTTTTTCAAAATTTGGCGTACTTTTTTCGGTGTTTATTTTAAAATACAATTTTCATGTTTTTTTGTTTTTGTTTTTCTGTGAATATAAAATAAACACCAATGGGACACCCGATCAGACGATCCTTGTACGTAGCTCTGATATTTGTGATCACTCGAAGAATAACGGCACAGATACATTGAAAAAGAAATGGACACTTCATTTGGCAAATCTGTGCAACTGTAAAAGAAACAAGAAAAAAACATAAGTACAAACAACTCCGATATGAAGCCTATGCCCAATAAACATGGAACTTCACCTTCTGTACATCAGGATTACGTGATCTCATTACAGTACACACACATGTACTTGCCCAGGTTCTCCTCCTTGATCCGCACTCTTTCCTTCCTGTTAATATGACCCTGAGCTTCATGTTCCGATCGATGATGCGCACATTAAACTAAAACGTCGTGATGGCATCCGTGTATCCCATACATTCGGACATGTTTCGATCGACACTGTCGTTCCACTTTTTCGCCACAGCTCTGCTGTTTGACTGGAAGATCAAAGTGACCTTTTCTGGTTCAGACTGAATTTTAGGAAATGGACTCTACAAACTTTTATTGGTTTAAATCGAAAATGTTGAACCTATAAACTGACCTTTTTCGGTTAAAACCGAATTTCCGAAAATGAATTCGGTGTACTTTTATCGGTTTAAACCGAAATCTCCGAACCCTAGTTATAAGCGATCATCCTTCCAGAGACATTTGTGTCGCTGGAAAGATAATTGCCCACTTTAAGCAGACACATATTTTTTAAACATGAAAGTTAACAAAGGACAGACTTGTTCTAACGTTATGGTATTTTATTTGGGTCAAACAATAAAAAAAGTGTGACAGCAAAGTAGTTGCAGCAAAGTACTTGCATATGGGTGGTAAGGTGCTAGTGCACCAATGGGAAAATATTCAATAATGCCAATAGCTCTTATTGGTTTTAGTGTTAAACACGAACTCGCATCTGCGTGCTCCGAACCATGCCAGCCAATTTGCACTGCAATTGAATATTGCATCTCCCCAGGTTTAACTCCAACCAATTGAATGCTTTGCTGAGGCCCTTAAAAATATTTACTGTTGCCATTTTGCACATATATACAAAGGGACGGCTTAGAGCATGATGACAGCTAGCTAGAATTGGTTATAATTCCTGACACAAAAAATAATCATTTTTAGTTTTATGACGACGTTTGCTATCATCAGACAAATTCGAGCCTATCTTTCCAATTAGTTTTACACTGCGAGCTTTCTTTCTAGACAGGCCGTGTATTTTATCTCTTCTCTGAAGACACCACCACTTGGGATTGACAAGTGGTAGGCCTCTTTTTTTCTTGTTGCATCTGTTTCTACATCTTGTTTTGGTTGCAAAACATCTTTCATCAGATATTGCAACACCAAGGCACTTGACATATACTGCTTCTTTTTTTTTTTTTTTTAACACAATACTTTGCGACTTATCTGACATGCATGCTGCTGTTTCTGATACGGAGAAAAAAAATTGCTTTTTTCTGGGGCGGGGCGTGAAAGTAGGTCGTCCAGACTTAGCGTATGTCTTCGAGTGTTCTTTTGAGTATCGAAAGAAAATTGTCTTGTTAATATAGACATCTCCGCTCCCCCCCCAAAGACCTTCTAAAATGTGAGTTTTCTATATGTGTCAGAAATGCATGTATAGTACAAGTATTTACCCAATGCGTCCTAGGGTGCCTACATGTTTCCGCTCAGCTGAGCGGCGGGAACATGTAGGCACCCTAGTGCGTCCCAGGAAATTTTGTCCATATGGTAGGGTATATTCATACTAAACGAGACATTGCTGTATATTTAAGAAGGAAATTTAAAGAATGATAGAGGAACCTTTGCTATTTACTGCAGATTACAGTATACATTTTTAATTATTTTTTTAAATTGCATAGTGTGCACAAAGGTCATACATGAGAAGAGGCTTGTACATGTGGGACATGGCAGTTTCTATACCAGTTTTCAGAATCACTCGCTACGAACTTAAACATTGGAGAACTTATGTGTACTTGAAGATATAGCTGCACGCACCAATATCCTGCCCCCCTTCACAGATTTTACAGGTGAAGCAAGGCTCATTCTAGAGATGCAATAACAAAACAGACATTGCAGTAGCCTCACTATGTACTCCGTTCACCCCTAAGCTGACAGTGCAATGGGAGCTGTGTGCTCGCGGGCCCATTCAACCAACTTGGCTATGGGCAGGAGCGTGATCTTGTGATGAAGGATAAACATATCTTTTGTCGCATGATCATGTTCCTGCCCATACCCAAGCATCATGTGACGAAAGATAAACATTTCTTTCATCACATGATCACATACTAGCTTGTACCCTTCGGGCAATCGAGTTTGGTGTGACACATTGCGTCCATCTAACTCAAAATATTTACAACACTGAGAAAGCCCTTACGCAAGCCTGCTTGCTCGTGGGGCTGTTCATGCATCAATTTGAAGGTGTTGATTCGCACGTTTTTGGCCTTTTATTTTTAACATTGCTATCTGATATCCCAGAAACGTAAACACTGAAGCTGTAAACCCGGTTGCGTACCGAACTGTCGCAACCCCAGAAGCTTTGCAGGCGTGAAGCTCCGCAAATTTCCGCCGAGGCCGTGGAAAATACAACGCCGTCGGAGATGAATAAATGCCGTAAAACGTGTAAAGTAAGCCCGTTCACACTGCCTGACTTGAGATGAATTTCTAAATGCGCTATTTGACTCGATATTTGAAATTAATGCGGTCGAAGCCCGGCCTTATCCTTGTATTCGATGTGAGAACTCTAAAGTCAGATAAGTCCTTTGACACTCTCACTGCTCTCTGCTCCACAGATCCATCTTGATTGAATGACGTTTTTTGAGTGTTTGATCGTAGTTGCCGAAAACCGAAGTGAGCGTTTTCTCCGCTTTGTCGATTGCAGAACGAACTGTCGTTTGTGCCTTTAGCATAATCGCGTAGCTGCCCAAGATGGTTGCTCTATTTCAACCCGTGTCTATGCGGTCCTAACTTCATCCCTGTCGCGAGAAAAGTCTACCCAAGAAATAATAAAAAATATGTACTTACCCCACAAGAAAGGTTATCCATGCGGCGTTCATGTGGGTAAGGATGAGAGGGAGGAAAGGGGAGGGGGGGGGGGCATTTTTTGTTCCGCTTTTGCAGTGCGCTTTTGTAGAGGAGGGAAGCTCGACGAAGTTTTTGCTTTTGTTATCTTGAGGCATGCGCAAACAACGTAAAAACGAAACCAAAAAGCCTGTCCTTGTTTATTTGCTTTCATTTATATCTGGCCGTAATATTATGATGTTCAATTTAGTTCTTCTAGCTCCCGTTTCGGGTTGTCTCTACCTATTGAGGAAGGCACCTACTAAAACTCCCTAATGCTAGAATGACACAACCACACACAGATGCACATTTACATATTTAACGTTTGATAGATTCTTAAAACAGTCGGTAGTGTAGCGCGCGACAACACAACTCTCGGAATTGGTAACAACATAATCTCGCAAGGGTACGCCGGTGGCGCTGCCGATTTTAAACATCCCAGTGTTACCTCACTTGGCCACGGAGGCGCTGATGATCAACCGATGGTGGCACTCTCTGGAACCCTGCCCAGAGCCTATGGGGGAACAGGGGCAGTTAAAAATTTGGGCACCAATAATTATATAGACCTGCCGGACTCTCAAGCACAATTTATTTCATTTTTCTCTCTCTCTTTGCCCTCTTAAACTTCACATAAATGTGTAAAATTATACCTTGGGGGTTTGCATCTTGACCAACGAAAGCATCAGGGAGGCTTTACCGGGGACCGACAATACATTTAGGCCACCTGAAAATCTTGACCCGGAACCCACATCTCACTTGCTTGGCGCCCGGGCAACAATAGGCCCTTGTTAGATTACGTGGAGCAGGCCATCATTACCTTGGCTGCCACTTGAGTTCAGTATCACTGAGAGGACTGATAAATAAATAAGTAAATCAATATATGTGAATGTGTATAAGACTGGTAGGAAATTCCATACATTGTTGTTGCATGTCTGTGTGTGCTGAAATAGCGTTCACCGACCTCAGCTTATTTAACTCACTTTGCTGTTGCCCTACAGCTAGGCTGACACTACATTTTTTATGGGTCTATACAAAAATGCAAAAATTCAAAACTTTGAATTATGATAAGGTAGAACGTCAAAGCTGTAAAGTCACAAAGCTGCAGTCACTAAGCTGTTAAGATGCTCAACTGAGAAATCTCAACACTGAAAAATTGTGACGATGAAAAATTGCAATGCTGAAAAACTGTGCTTAAAAATTGTGACACTGAAAACTTGCAGTGCTGAAAAATCTCAACCCTGAGAAGTCGCAACGCTGAGGAGTCGCAACGCTGAGGAGTTGCAACGCTGAGGAGTTGCAACGCTGAGGAGTTGCAACGCTCAGGAGTCGCAACGCTCAGGAGTCGCAACGCTCAGGAGTCGCAACGCTCAGGAGTCGCAACGCTCAGGAGTCGCAACGCTCAGGAGTCACAACGCTCAGGAGTCGCAACGCTCGAAAATCGCAACGCTCGAAAATCGCAACGCTCGAAAATCGCAACGCTCGAAAATCGCAACGCTCGAATATCGCAACGCTCGAAAATCGCAACGCTCGAAAATCGCAACGCTCGAAAATCGCAACGCTCGAAAATCGCAACGCTCGAAAATCGCAACGCTCGAAAACCGCAACGCTCGAAAACCGCAACGCTCGAAAACCGCAACGCTCGAAAACTGTAATGCCAAAAAGTCAGAATGTTGAATATTTGAATTGCAGAAAAATCGCCATGAAAGCACTCGAAACGTGCAAAGAAGGTTTAATAGCTGCCATGGACAACCAGGAGAAAGTTGACGTATTAAACTATCTTCGAGAAAATGCCCACAATTCGTCAGTTTGATGTGCAGTAAACAAGAAATCCCTCTCCCATCTGGTATAACAAGCAAGAAGTGTTTTCCAGTTTCCAGGTTTGAACCATGCAGAGAGAAGTTCAAAGTAGATGGTACATTGCAGGCACATTGCCAGGATTTTGTTTCGGGGGGGGAGAGGAGGCTCCAGCAAAGTGGAAGATTTCGGGGTGGGGGGGGGGGGAGGGGGGCGGGGGCTGGGCCCCATGGGCCCCTCCCCTGGCTACGTGCCTGGTACATTGATGTACCAAACATATCTTTTTACGGACTTACAATTACTGCTGATCGAGAGTAATCTGAGCACATGGCACATGCTTAGCAGCTTAGCATGTATTGCATGCTCACTATTGCTGCATCAATGTTGGGTTTAGATTTTGTTCCCCTCCTTCATATGATGATGTCATGTATAAGTCGAAAGAAAATTGTCTGTCGTCTTTGCATGCGTTTCGAAATATTTGTTCGCAGCAATTTATACTATATTATTTGCGCTAAGTTGCAGCATTTCTTCATTCTTGTTATTGCTGTAATGCTTTCTTGTTTGTTTGTTTTTAAATTTTCTTTCCTCAAGTACACTTATTGTGTACCAGCCCAGATACATTTTGAACGTATATATACTGTACATTATTTCCTGTATCTTATTTTTTTTGTCTCTTTGCATTTTTGTATGTTTATTCTTTAAAAGTGGTTCCTCTTGAACAAATTTGAGTGTACCACACAAAAGATTTTATGGCTGTTTGTGGCCTGTTTGTTGGGATATAATACGCCATATTTCAACATTTTCTGTGTTGAAATATGTTGTGTTTCGATTTTGCTGTGTTTTGGCAGTGAGAGTTTTCGCCTTTCAAAGTTTTTGGCGTTTTGAACTTCTGCATTTTGAGTTTTTGCATTTTTCAAAGTTGGCATTTTGAAATTTTAATTTTTTAATTTCGGCATTTCAATAATTCGGTGTTCAGATTTTTGGCACTTCTTTCTTTTTCAGATGGATTTCAACGATGCCCTTGCCGGCGCTGGCGACTTTGGCGTCTACCAGAAGTTGCTCATCTTTCTGCTGGTTGTTCCCTCCGGTGCTCTGTGTGCCCTCGTCTACTTCACCCAGTACTTCATCATCCTGATCCCAGATAATTACTCCTGCAAGTTGCAGGTGTGTGGAGCACTATGGCATTGACATAGTCTGTTCACTGGCCTCAGACCTGACTGAGATTGTCTCATCGACTGGTATGCTAGATACCGTAAAATCCTGAGAGATGTCCCACCTAAAATCAAAAGAAAATTGGTTGAAGATAAGAAGTAGGCTAACTTTCGGTATGCAACCAAGAAAAGTGGAGGAAATGCTACTTTTAGATCATGTTTCTATATCAAACTTGTTATTGCAGCGAGGTGCAATGAAGCAAAGAGGGCTCTACTTCCCAGTCAGCAATGTTGGCTTATATCCCGCTATAGCTACCTAGCCGCATTTACGCCGAGGTCATCACTGATCCGAACATATGATTACTTGGAGTGAGCTATCTTTCTGTGTTTAAAATAAAATAGCAAATTAAGCCAAAAATAGGGGCAGCTTACCTTTTGAAGGGGGGGCATCTCTCTGGATTTTACAGTAGTTTTGAACCAGTCTACCTGCAGTGCCTTGTTGCAGAGGTAAAAATAAGCATGATAGGGTGCCGAAAAGGATGAAAGAAGTTGGTTTCAGCTCGACATGGACAAGTATTGAATTCTTGCTGGAACAATTGATGTCTGTATCTTTTATGAGCTACAGGATGCAGCAATACGAGATAGTTGAGTGGCATTCGGACCGGAGCGGTGACAATGCCCTGCTAAGAGCTTCGGGTGCATTAGAGGGATGCAGAACTGAAATCTTAAGCTCACAAAACCAGGCTGGGCAGATAGGCAGGATGCTGCAAAACCCAAAAACGTCACCCTTACAGTGATATCTCTAACGGATCGCCATATTTTTTTGGAAAAGAAGTGCGCAATTGAACACAACCGATGGGGCCAGTCACGTTACGCTTCTCATTCCCTCTCCACCTTGCTACGTCCCGTCAAGCTTGTGAACCGAAGCGAGGAGGAGAGAAGCGAGGCCGCTTCCATTCATTCTCAAATTTTCCAGGGGCACAATGACGTGGTAGCCCTCACTTGATTGTGCCCTTCTTTTCTAAAAGTATGGCCATCCGTTTGAGATATCTATGTACGAGTGACGTTTTGGCGTTCGTAGCGTCCCGTCCGACACTTCTGCGCCTTATTTTGCAAAATCGAAATTTTGGATTTTGCTTATGCTTCGGTTTCGAGCAGTTAAGTTTTTTGCTTTTATTATATGCGACTCTGGAACAAAATGTTGCTTGGGTGCCTGACACCATATTAAATCACCGGGCAAAAAAAAATATCAACATTTTTGAGGTGCTTCAGTGTCCCTTTAACCTGCACCACGCAGTAGTGATGCATGACCACATGTCGGTACGGCGTCCATCCAGATCGGAACGGGCAGGGGTGGAAATTGAACCCAGCATACCGGCGTTCTGTAGCGCAAGCCTTTGCTCCATATGTGCTCCAAGCTTCAGTGTGCTAACACGCTCAGCCAGTGATCTTCCCTGATGGGGTGTGACTGAGGCAAGGGTCATGTGCAGGTTCCTCCAGACGATCTTCTAGCAGCTTCCAACATGACGCTAAAGGCCCTGAGACAATTCGCCCTTCCCCCCGACCCCAACCGAGGGGGCGATCTAAGCCGGTGCCACATGTACGACGTGAACCTGACAGATCTGCTCGCCACCGGAGTCGGAGAGGCCAACGCGAGCTGGGCCGTGGTTCCCTGCAAGGATGGCTGGGATTACGAGTTTGGCAGCCTCTACCCAACCATAGCTACTGAGGTGAGCGGCCATCCTTTCAATGTGAAACGCGTTCCAGGTTTGGGCGCTGAGCCCAGGGTGTCACAGGATGGCGTAACAAAAAAAAATGTCTTTACAAAAGTCTGTGTTTCTTGGCGGGAGTCAAAACAGCTGACCTCTCGCTTAATAATCTGCAGCGTTATGAAGTACTTCAAGGGAGGGGACACTACCTGGAAATGTAAACATTTCAACCGCTCACTCAATCAACATGGTATTTCCAGGTGGTGTTTGTAGCCATATAGAAGGAGGGCTTGCAAAGTTTCAGCCCTGTGAACCAATCTTATGAGGTACCATACCCCCTGAACGAAGTAAAGCATGAAATCTGCTCAATGAATTTATCGTTGAGAAATAATGTTGATAATGACATATTTCTCTCGTGGACTGCATACTGGAATGCCTGTTGCTGGTTGCTGTAAAAATAAATAAAGAAATAGCATTTTTCAGATAAAAAAAATGTATGAGAGAAAAAAAATTCTTGTTTTCACATTTACTATGTAACTTACAATTTTCCATAATAAAGGAACATGAAAATGCAAACTCTTAGCTCATAGTAACCGGCTCCATAAAAGTTTGGCACATAAACCACAAATATTAAGTCTCTCGATTGTTTCATACTGAAACAATTTTCGTAAAGTGAAATTTGTGCCAAAAAGTGGAATGGAGAAAATTGCGTTCAAAGTGCTCCAACCTCTGTCTTTCCTTTAGCATCAGTGGACCGAAAATAGTGTATAAAAAATTAAATTTGCAGTGTAAACTAATGAACCTTTCTGAGAATACTTCCTAGATGTTGGTGGATGTAAATATCTTTTTTTCAAAATCAACTTTTTTTACAGAAATTTTCTTTTCTGAGTAGTGTCCTCCCTTAAGGAAGCACACTACCCAGAAGTGTTAACTTTTGAACCTTCGACTTAATATGAATGATATTGGCAGTATATATTGGCAGTTGGGACCTCAAGGCACGGGGCACGGACCTCGTGAAGCCACACTCCAGTGGCTTTTTGTCTGCGCTCCCGACATCACCATCCTTGTACGATGTGGTGTCAAAAAAAATTGATTTGATTTGATTTGAAGGCACTAAAATGGGCTCGCTGATTTTTTAAGAATTTTTTCTCACTGTGCTCCGCAGCACTGCAAAAAAAGGCTGAAGCAACATCTCAGGTGTCGCTTCCCTGCAGTACACCTGTGCGGAGGGAGGAGCGCACACAGGTCTATGCTTCGCTCATGGCATGAACAGGACCTAGCGCAATTCAACATCATAAAACATTTTTAAACATTATTATCCTACTTGGAACTTGAATATTTGCCCATGCCTATTTTTTTTTTAATTGTATGTACCCTCCCAACCCTTGTGTGATGATGCCCTTAAAAAAGGGCCCTCAATGAGGGAAGTAAGTGAATTCCTTGATCGAGTGATTGTTTTGGTTCTGCTTGCTGTTTGAGGATGCAGCTGAACATGGTGTGCGACCAGGACGAGCTGTCGTACTACGTCCAGGCATTCTTTTATGCCGGCACCAGCATCGGATCGGTGGCCTTTGGATTCATTGCTGACAGGTGAGTGTCTGGCATTCTCCTCCTCTTCCCTCTTGGTAGGCTGGTCGTACTGTTGAAAAACTTTAGAATGGGCTGGAAATTAAAATACAAAACACACTGACCTAGAAAAAATTTAGTGTTTTAACTTTTAATGGAACATGTATGTCACAGAAAACACTAACAGGAAGGAAAAATAATATATATTTGTGCAATGTTTGGGTTGCGAGACTCGTTTCAAGTACTGGGACATGCGTCTATATTTGATGCTTTTATTATAGGACGACATGCCGGAATAGGAGCACGTTTCGGAATCTCTCCTTACTCAAAATGAGTCTTGCGACCTCAAGGGCAACGACCAGTTTGCACTGTCCACTTTTCTCTCGTGCTCTTTTCTTCCTCCTTCTAACCTTTCCACCGTTGCCTGTTTTCTGTTTCCCCTTTCACCCCCTTTCTACCCGCTCGTTCCCTACCCCTGCTGCGCTATGCCCACGTTGGGTAGGACATGGACTCCACCTAAAAAAGAGGGGTTAGGTTACAAAACTGCAACCCCAACAGGATTGACAAGCAAGTCCGTGAGTTACAATGCCATTGAAGGCTGTGCAGGTTTTTAGTCCGCTTGCCGTGCACTGGTATTTCTTCATACAGGGTGTTCTCTTTTTAAACTTCACAAATTTGCGTAAGAAAAAGCCGTGAAAGCTGCATTTATGCGGTTTGTGCTGGTGAGTTATACGGCCAGGGGGGACAAAGTGTAGGGGGCTAATCGTAACGATCAGTCTGCTGATTGAGTAAAATTTGCTAATTAAGTTAATTAGGGAAAATAGCCATATGGTTCCAATTAGAAACTCGCTGAGTGTCGTCCAAAACCACTAAACCAAAAATTTTTAGAAATATTTTGAGAGCGTGGGGAGCGTAGAGCGCACTAAAGGTACCACTTGTGCAACAGGTACAAGGCTGGGGCTCTGATAAAAGACAAGAAAATCGCGCGAGTGCCTTATCGCACTGGTAACCTTGCTCCTGCTGCACAAATGGTAACTTTAGTGCACTACTGCGCTTCTCATGCGCTCATTCCTTAGGTGAATAGCTGATCTAGTGGTTTTTGATGATGCTTAGCAAGTTTACAGGGGTGGAAGCGCTGCGCCAATTGCGCCACCCTGCGCCAATTCACTTCCCTGCGCCAGCCTGCTCCAAAACGCCAATTTCAACTTTTTTTTTGTGTGTTTTCTCTAAATTTAGCGGAAAACGGTTGGCCACGGGCCACCATGAGGTGTGTACTTTTGGTTAGGTGTCACCGCGGGGGGAGGCACTCACTTGATCGAATGACGTTTTAGCGAATGCCCACGTTTCATCGAATGACACTTTAGTAAAGTGAACTAGAGTCCTCTAGTTCACTTTAACTTTAGCGAATAGTCGGACGCCGCGAAGCGGCGTTTTCGGGTGGGCCAAATGGGTTCACATTTTTGTAATGAGTTGCCGCAGACTGTCGCCGCGAAGCGGCGTAAAGCGCAGCGCGACGGATGGGTTAACGCGCGCCCCCGTTATTCGCTAAAACGACCATTCGCTCAAATGTCGCCGTTCGCTAAAATGTCATTCGCTCTTGTGATATGGACCCACACATCGGTTTTGTTTCGGGCATAGTTGGTTGGCGCGGTTGGAGCGCGCATGCAGTTGCCCGTGGTCCCGATTTGCCGTGATCGTGGGAGTTGGTGCCTCGGCACCGGTGGGCTACCTTAGCCATTAACATGAGCAGAAGTAAGTGGTCTTTACTAGCTTTACCTGTTATTTAGTAGCCTACCATATTTGGACACTTAGCCGTGAAGAATCGCGAGCACAGGCACATCCGTTCTCGAGCTCAATTTGTCTTGTCAAAACGAAACCAAAACCATCATTGTGTGCGCGAATGTGCACGCTGTCGTGTGTTGTCTCCCGCCGTCAAACCACTGGCGAAAACAATGCCCGCGATCTTAAGCGAGTTGGTTAATTGGCAGTGCTACACACTTTCTTGTTTCTTTCCTTTAGCGTGGAGGAGTGGGGGTTACATCAGAAATGCCGTACAACACTCCCGCGCTGCCGATTCCTGTCAAGAACGCACCTTAACTTGCTATAGCCACTCTACTCCTATAAGTTTCTGGTTTGGGGGGGGGGGGGGGGGGGGGGGGGGGGGGTTGGGGGGTTGGGTAGGGTAGGGAGAAGTTGGTGGGCTTTTTGTCACGTAAGAAGGCAGCCTGCCCCGCAGGGATCAGCGCCTGATCAGCTACAACTCATTTTCAGTCTCGTTCAAACTGTCTTCTCTTAAAGCACTTCTACTGAGTGCACAAGAACTATTAAGCAAGGGTGAGGCAGTTAAGGACATGGGCAAGGTGGGGAGTGGACACCTCCTGCTAAGAGATGTGAACTCTATTAAGTGCCCAAAGTACTCGAGCGCATAAAAGAAATTGACTCTGCTCTTCAAACTGTGAAAAAAAGGTGAACTTCAGTTGTATCTAAATTACACAGATTCAGCTTAGTCACAACCCTTTTTTTTTGAACATGGAGCCTGTGGGCTCTTCTAGTCAGTGTTTATGCTGCATATGTATTAGTGGCTGTGATATTTTTAAGACAATATATTTTTCCATCCAAAGTAATTAGATATAGCTTTGTATGTTAACTTGGGTGTAGGGATTACTGTATTTTATGAACAGGGATTAAGAACATTTTTATTTAATGAAAACAGGTCAGCAAGGACTGCTTTATTCTGAAACATGTTGTGGTACCTTAATTTTTTTTATGGAGACACGCAATGCACAGCATTTTATGGAGTACATAAGGTTGCGTTGCTCTTCTAGTCGATGCTTAAAGCTGCATATGTACGAGTGACTGTGGTAGTCTAAAGATATAAAATACACATTTTATTTTGCATCTGAATTTTTGTCAAATGTCAGTAGCCTTGTATTTTGTTACTAAACTTGGTTATAGGGCTGTTTAAGTAGTGATTAAACATGTGTATTCTTTATTAAACAAAAACTGTAGTCAGCGAAGGTAGTTTATCTGACTCCTTGCAGTGGTTTAGTTTTCTGGATACATGTTTACAATTGGTCTATTAAGTAGACGGTTTTGTACTGGCGTGGCTCAAGTTAGGCTTTTATTGTCGGGGCCTGCCATATAAAGTCTATCATGACTCTGCCTGCTGCCGGAATGGTTCTCAAAGCCTTTCCTTTGCATAAATTGCCAATATTCCATATTTCAATGCAATAGAAATAGAAAAATGTGTATGTATGTTGCTTGAAAATTATTCTGGGATGTGCATGCATATATTTTTGCTACATTTTCACATTTAGAAACAACAAATCACTTTTAGACATTTGTTTGACTTCCGTGACCTGCTCCAAAACCTACTTCTACGGCTACAAAACTTATTTTTGCTGCTCCCGAGCTGCTCTAAAGCGAGCGTTTTACTGCTCCAAAACTGCTCCAAAGTGGGACTTTTGCTGCTCCCAGCCCTGATACAAAAGGTTCTAGCCCGCTTCCACCCCTGAGTTTATGATTGGAGCCATATGTCTCTTTTTACTAATTAAAAAGTCTACTAAAAAAAAGCCTCACACAGACGCTGGTTCAAAAGTTGCGAGTATAAAAAACATGCGATTATATGTTCGAGCGAAATAAGCCACGGCCTCCCGAGAAGGGGAGATAGATCTTGCTTCCTAGATGCAGTGACCTGCGAGTGATTGAGTTCACTCACCGTATCCTTTGTACACATTGTAGCTTATTCGCAGATTATATTTCGCCCCAAAGTTTGTACAAAGAAGCTTCTTCACTCTACGATCCTTGTGGCCCTCATATTTTCATACCAATGCATTTTGTTCCAGGCTTTCAACAAGGGGTAGCAGTCATTTCGAAAAAAAAAAACGTCAGTTCACATAAAAAAAATGCCTCGATGAAAAATGCACTAAGCGAAGACGTACCGTGCGGTGCGAGAAACAGACTTGGTTCTTGTTCCCTGGTCATGGAAGATTCCTTCGCTAATCCTCTGGCACACAGATTGCGACGTGTCTGTTGAGGGGACACCCTTTTTTCAAGCTTATCTTCATTCCCGTGCTCGTGCAATAGATGCTCATTTGCTTGACATTGAACCGCCGAGCCATCCGAAAGGCGCACGCAGTAGTGATGCAAAACTATCGATGAATCGACTATCGATACTATCGATAGTTTTGGAAAAACTATAGATAGTATCGCAGAACTATCGATAGTCGACTATCGATAGTACTATCGATAGTAATACTATCGATAGTTTTTCGATAGTCGACTATCGATAGTTTTTCAATAGTCGACTATCGATAGTACTATTGATAGTTTTTCGATAGTCGACTATCGATAGTACTATCGATAGTTTTTCGATAGTCGACTATCGATAGTTTTTCGATAGTCGACTATCGATAGTACTATCAATAGTTTTTCGATAGTCGACTATCGATAGTTTTTCGATAGTCGACTATTGATAGTTTTTCGATAGTCGACTATCGGTAGTACTATCGATAGTTTTTTTACTATCGGTAGTCAGATTTTTGGCAGCTATGGAGACTATCGATAGAACTATCGATAGTTTTGTACCACTAGAGCGAACACAGTTGCCGCACCGCCAATCCCGTCTTCGTTATCACTGAAAGCTGAACCAAAGTTGGGATGGTAAGTGCTTGGGCTAGTTGGTGTCCCATTTGAAAAAATAAAGCGAGAAAAAGAGAAGAGGGAATGACTGAAACTACTAGTGTCGTAAAACTATCGATAGTAAACTGTCGACAGTACTATCGATAGGTTTACAATAGTCGACTATCGATAGTTTTCCGATAGTCGATGAACAATAATTTTCCGATAGTCGACTATTGATAGTACTATCGATAGTTTTTCGATAGTCGACTATCGATAGTACTATCAATAGATTTTTTACTATCGATAGTCAGATTTCTGGAGACTATCGATACTATCGATAGTGCTATCGATAGTTTTGCACCACTAGCGCGCAGTCTCATGCCCGACTTTCTTGGTCCCTT